TATATATATATATATATACCCTTCCCACACTCTTGCAATTTTCTAAACAATGTTTCTAAAATCTAAACGCTCTAAAAGAGCATAGAATGTCATGATTTCAGCTCTCTGCTTCAGCTTGGCCACGCCCACTTCTCCGCTCTGCATGGAGATCAGCTGATTAGCTGCAGAAGGGAGTTTTTTCTGCTGTGTGTGCTACACAAAGGTGCAGCAGGAGCTAAATAATTTAAAATAATTTATTTTAAATAAAAATCCCATGCCGATCATGCAGCTCATCCATCAGTCAGCCAGTTGTGTGTCATGTCCAATCTTATTTGGAAAACCGCGATAGAGCGAGTCCACGATAAACAAACCGTGAAGTAGCGAGGGGCTACTGTGTGTATATATATATATATATATATATTATATACAGAATTATGTTATTATGAATTTTATTATGCTGTATTATACAGAGCAGAATATCTAATATACCACTGGATGGAGTTTAATGAAATCTTTAAAAAATAATTATTAGCTGTACTAGTACATCTACTTCTGATTACCGTTTGGCAGTAATCCAATTTAAAATGGCTACCACAGCTAATCAACCTCAGCAAAACACAGAAAAGCTATAACTCAGTCAATTTTAGACATGCTGACCTATGACTTGATGTGGTAGTAGCTGAACTTTATTCACAACACAGTCTGAGAACTAATAGAACGTGCGACGTTGCACTCGAACGCATTATTATTTTGACCAAAACAGCGACAACTCTGTCACTTCTCAAAAACAGATGATCTTCGTTTACTTCGGTATTTGTGAAATGTTTTTTTTTTTCACTTTCTATAGAGTCTCACTAAAAAGCATTCCGATTACCAGAATGGAGAAAATTAGTTTTAATTTTCACCTCCCAGTTTAATGGATGCACAGCTGCACATTCACGCATGCATGAGACAGGGATTGCCCAGAGATACCTGCTCTATCCGGCTTTAGTCACGTTTGTGTGGGAGGCACACAAAAGGTAGAGCTCGGCAGCGTGTGTGTCATCAATTCAACCCACACTAACTTTGAAAAGGGGAGAAATAAAAAACAACTAAAGTCCATTCATTTCTTGTCCTTTTTGCTGCGATGGAAATCCCAGCCTCTCCTTAACGCCATGTGTAGTTACTGTTGACATGTTTAACTGCAGAGACTCTCTGGCTGATGTTTTTTCTTTTCTTTTCCTGCATCAGTTTAGAGATGTGTGACGATAGTCTCAATTTCACCATGTGTCCTCTGTGTGACGGGGCATGTGACTACTGGCACCTCAGCACCGCCTGTGGCACGGCCAGAGCTTCTCATCTCTTTGATAACCCTGCCACCGTCTTCTTCGCCATCTTCATGTCCCTGTGGGGTGAGGTTACAAGTGTGCATGAGCGCAACTGTGTGTGAGGAGCGTGTGTTTGAGAACTGGAGAACGGGCGAGCTGCTTGTGTTGTTAGTGTCATGTTACCTCAAAGTGAGCAAATGCTTAGTGTAACAGTGTAAAACAACACAAGTTCAAAGGGTAACCCTGACAACAGGCATGTTTGCATGTAAAACATGGTCTGAAACATTAAGAAAACTCAAACGCTTTTTAATAATTGCTAACTTTAAAAAATGTTTTCTGAATTCTGAATAAAACGTAATCAAGCATACACAAATTCACATTGCAGTGGCAGTTCTCGATGTCAGTAACCTGTTTCAACATCTAAAAGTCAGAAATCTGTTGGTAATTATGATTTTATGCAATAATCATCCTCTTCTACTTGTTTCTGGTTGACATGTTCCCGTGCAGTTTCTTTCTACGGAGGCCCACAGGGGTCATAGTAAAAGTATGAGGTTGTAAGAATGAATTCCCTCTATTTATTGATGCTTGTTCAAGCGTTTGCTAATAGACATTATTCTGTTAGAGTGTAAGCAATGAATCGTTGTTTGGGTTGATTCACATTGAAAAGTTGGACACATACCTATTTCCAGCTTTACTTGAAAACAAGCTACCAGGCCTGTAAAACTACAAACATAACCTCCTGTTACTTCACAATATTTAACAATAAACAACCCTAATCCTGAAAATGCAGTTATTTTCAAAACCTCATAAAGCTACATTTGATTCTTTATAGAATATAATAAAGTGTCAAATATAAATTGTCAACACATCTGTGAGAGAACTGGGTATAAAAAGAAAATTTCAGAGAGTCTGAAACTCTCAGAAGTAAAGATGGGCAGAGGTTTGGCACTCTGTGTAAAACCATGTCTGTAAATAATGCAACAATTTCAGAAAGATGTTCCCTAATGACAATTTGGGAAAAGTTTACATATCCCATTGTCTACAGTTAATAAAACTAAAAGAGTTCAAGAATATGGAAAAATCTTTGAGCTCAGAGGCTTACAGTATATATTGGATAGTGGGGATCTTTTGGCCCTCAGGCAGTGCTGCATTAAAAGCCAGTGTGATTCTGGTGTAAACATCACTGCACGGGCCCAAGAACAATTCAACCTTTCATTGTAATTAGACATAATTCACTGTACCATTAACAAATGCTGCCTCAAGCTTGATTGTGCAAAGAGGAAGCCCAATCAATCAATTACAAGTTTCAGAACCACAAATACTCCCATACAGATATGTCTTTTTCAGGGAAGGCCTTGCTTATTTCCATATTCCACTAACTACAAGATTACCTTAGCTAATGCTAAACAGGTATAAAAAAATCAGCACAAGCCAACGCTAAATCGCTTAACTGCTAAAACAACTGTTACGCAGTCTGTGTCACACGTCTTCATCAGTGTTGCCAGATCTCGCAATAGAAACAAGCAACCAGCTCTATGAAAACAAGCCCCAAAAAAGCCCAACTGGCAACCCAACACATTGTGTAAAACAGAGGCCGTTTTTAAACAGTATAATCATACATATAGCATTATACATAAACAACAGCAAAATTTTGCTAAACACTTTGAATAACATACTTTTAAGCGCTGGTTAAAAAAACAAAGTAACAAATATGTAAATCATATTTTTCTGCATATTTTTAAAAACAAAACATCCCAACATCTGCGTGTGAGTGGAGCCCCCCTAGTGGTCGGCCACAGTATGAGTGTTTGTTTGAGTGTGCACCTGTTGTCTCATCGACTTGGGCGGGAGCGGTAAATGGGAAATGAGGGCATGGAAGGGACAAACTACCTACTACCACTCATTTTTTTGCTTTATTGTGCAAAGCTGGGAGATAATCAACTAGTTTCACTCGGAAAGAAAGTCAAGCCCAAATAAGCAACTTCACATTCAAAACAAGCCCAAAGTCATTTATAATAATCGGACTTGGCAACACTGGTCTTCATCTCCTTCCAGTTGAAGCTGCGTCGACCAATCACATCTTGACACGTCTGCACGTAGTCAGCCAATAGCGTGCCTAACGGACTCTTCGAGACACGCCCACAACAGACAGGAACTGGCTGGTGGACTTAAAGTTGACGGAACCTGTTTTAGTGGAAGCCAATTCTGCTAACGTTTTCCAAAATTTGCAAAAACGCTAACAAATGAAAAATTTGTTCCACTATTAGCAGTTAGCGGATTAGCAGAACAGTGCCCACCACAGCCAGGCAGTGCTAACATACACACTGCTTCCATTACAACATCATGACTTCATAGTAGAGGAGTACGGGCGTGGTTGCATAAAGTTTTTCCACAATAATTTTACACATTCTGTATAAAAGTCACTTCAGTGTTTTTCACTTTGAGATGTAGTTATGGGTTTATGAAAAAAACTTTTTTTTAGTTTTTCTAGGTTTGCTTTGCTCAAATAAAGACTTCTGTAGATGATAATCCTATGTGCGATGGATTCGACTGTTGTTAAGTTTGTCGTATGTTGGTGTGTCTGTAGCTGTGCTGTTCCTGGAGCAGTGGAAGCGTCGACAGATTAGTTTGAGCTTCAGCTGGGATCTGACAGGCATGGATGAGGATGAGGTAAATACTCAAATCTCATCAGCCATGCTCACATCATAATTATCATAATAATAAATACTTTTTTTTTATCCAAGACTTTTCTAAGACCTCAGCATTCTCTGTTTATTTAAGGACAGAATTGCATTCTGTGGAGACACGTGGTCTTTTATGGTAATTCGTGTTATTTAAAGCGTGAAAACCCTGTGTGAAGACCATTTTCCAAACTAGGCTGAAATATACGTTTGCAGTGAGTGAACTACCGAATGTTTAGCATGTGCATACGCAGAAATACTCCTTTTGTTTTTGTCAGGAACACCCCAGGCCAAAGTACGAGACCATCCTTCTTCAGAAACGGCAGAAGAAGCAGGAAAAAAAGAAAAAGAAGAAAAAGAAAGAGGTAGGAATTTAAAACCATGTTGTCAAGCGTTAGCAGGGTAACACTTTACAATAACGTTCACAAAATTTGATTAACTACTAGGGAACACCTAAGGAACAAATCAGGAGCTAATGGGTAGTTAACCAATACATACTGGGGAACACACAGCCAAACCTTATTAGGGGACTACTGGTTAGTTACCTTGCAAATGAAGAGGAACTAATCAAGAAGTAATGGATAGTTACCAAGAAAACCAAAAATGAATGAATCAAGAGCTAATGGGAAGTTAACCAGTATTTACTGGAGAACACACAGCCAAGCCTTATTAGGGGACTACTGGTTAGCTACCTTGTAAATGAAGAGGAACTAATCAAGAACTAATGGGTAGTTACCAGGGAAACCAAAGATGAACGAATCAGAAGCTATGGGGTAGTTAACCAGTAATTACTGGAGAACACACAGACAAGCCTTCTTAGGGGACTACTGGTATGATACCACAGAAACAGAGGATACATTCTCCATGTGAGTTCTGAATAAACCCTGCACCAGTGGTAACTACCAACTAGTTCTAGATTAGTTACTCTTTATTTGCAAGGTAACTAACCAGCAGTCCCCTAATAAGTCTAGGCTGTGTGTTCCCCAGTAAGTACTGATAAACAACCTATTAGCTCCTGATTTGTTCCTGATTCGTTCCTGAGGCGTTCCCTAGTAGCTAATCAAATTTTGTGTACCTTATTGTAAAGTGTTACCGATTGCAGAATAAAATACAGCACAAATGGTAGGTTGATTATGGAAAGTTGCAGTAATTATGCATTAAAATACCTTGATGTGTATATTCTGTCAGCTTACACTTTCTCACAGTCAGAATCAGATACTTTTCAAAGATCCAGATGTTTGGGTTTGCAGTTTATTTCGCCAATATTAGCCAAATAATCTAAAGACGGCTAATGATCTAGATTCACTGAGTAAACTGGATCAATGGTGAGTCCCAAACGGCCCACAGACCACGGTGACGGATGAATCTGTGACCGCTGAGGGAAGCCTGGACATACATGATGGACACATTTCCTGCAACTGTTTTAATTGTTTAATAGCTTTATTGCAGTTCAAAAAAACATTTAGATCCCATAGTGAGGTTAACAACTATGTTTATTTTTAACTTGTGATCGTAATCTTTATTTGGTACTGTTTAAAGAGCAAGAGTGAGAAAAGCAGTCAGCTTGGAGGGCAGTTTGTTCCCTGCAAAAATACCCACCACCCGAGAAAATCACTAATATACCGGCATTTAAAAATAAGTGTATATGACTTTAGTAATGTCCTGCCTTCAAACGATCACATGTCAAGTGTTCAAATCCTGCACATGCTCCAAAGGCATGCATGTAGATGAAGACAGTAGGAGACTGGTCCACCTGCAATCCTGACCTGACTTCAATGAAGTGCACGTGAAGAGGTTTGCAATAAAATGCACAAGGACAAGAACCTATTCTCTTGTATACCTAAAGATGTGTTTGCTGAAAGAATGAAACAAGATCACGCTTGAAATGCGGAATTACAGTGATCAACTGTTGGCTTCTGGGCTAAATATGGCTGATGAGGTCTTTCTTTCCAAGTATGAAGTTATTATTACATCAAACACAACGCAGTGGTTAGTTTGGTCACTCACAACATTTTATTATTGTTCTTAGCTGCTTGCAGCTAAACCCTCAAGTATTAATGTATCTTAGGAAGATGCGAGAAGCTCTGAAAGGCAGCAAGCCACAACAATACAGCTGTTGCTATATTGTGGTTCACTTCTTGCGGCTTCACTGTATTGCAAGTTTTTTAGTCCTGTGTTTTTTTTACATTGTTTGTCCCATACAGGCTGTGCAGTACTGTACATTCATCTCATCATCATCTTCATGGCCAAAGTGTTTGAGTATATGAAGTGTTTATAAGAGAGTGTGAAAGGTTTGTAGTAGTGTGGAAAGGGTTTATATAAATAATAAAAGATAACGCCGCTACTCTGCAGATTTTCACCTACCTTGGTCGCTTTAATACGACTTATAGCCTACCCATGATGCTCCATGTCCCGAGCCCATTTCTTCCTTGACTTTCTTGGATGGTGTAAGACCTGGATACACTACCAAAACCCTTCATTACTTCAACTGAAATTGGCTATGTAATTTGGAAGCCACAATGTTCTTATCGCACTTCTAAAGACCTCACCAAGACCCTGCAAAGAATATCTTCTTTCTGTTAATGTTTTTGTAGTGAGGTTCAGTTCAGTATGAAAGGGGATTAATCATTGGTTCCCACACTGTGACTGGGAAAATTCCAGACTTTGAGCACGTTTTTTAATGACCCCTGGTTTATCTGTTGATATCCGTGATGTTAGAATGTATTTAAAGTGTTGTAACAAGAAATTCAATTAGTAGAAAATGATTCAAGTTTTACTATTTCCACTTTTTATAAATGCGTTGTGGACCAGAAATGCATAAATGGATGTTTTTGGGGCAAAACATGAAACATCATAGATTCAATGTAGTTGCGATAAGGAGCAAACAGCTAGATGAGCCATTTATCCTCGTTATAAACCAGATAAAAATAGGTTGTTAGGTCTACTGTAAATACTGGGCAATAAACGGCATATATATAAATGTATGAATCTATAAGTTTGTCCTAAAACTGACTGAAGCCCACAAACCTCTCAGAGAATTTGGTTTGACACAGCCATGATTGTAATGGTTATATTGAGAGGTCAGAGATATGTCCCAGATATTAAAGGTTCCTAATGGGCTTTAGAAACATGTGTTTGTGTGTGACCTGTTCTTCTGTCTTGCAGCCTGAGAAGCAGGAGGACGGGACAGTGACAGGGAAGGACAGATGGAGACAAAAGCTGCTGTCTGCCATGGCTGGAGGAGTACCGGTAACCCCTCCTTTTCTCCTCTCCTTTGCATGTCCTTTCCCTCCTTCCTCTCCTTTTTTCTGCTTTCCTACCCGTACCTTCGATTTTCTACCCTGCAGGCTGCTCTGTCTGTTCTTCTCTTCCTGTCCCATCCTCAGGCTGATACCACTTCTCAGGTATTTGTTTCTGCAATTTTTCTCTTTCTTTTGCAGTATTTCAGACAACTGATGGTTAAAGTGTAAAAACTTTCCCTGTGAGGTGAAAAGGATTCATTTCTTCACCGTCTGTTGTCTGGATGGCCTTGCATAACCTTGGCTGTAGTTTCTGTCTTTACATTTTATCTTCATATGTTTTCCTATTTGCCACTGACACAATCTCATACCAAAATACCTGTGGTGCATATGTTCATACCCACAAGAAATACAGACGTTACATCCTAGCATCCTATTGTAAGTGAAACTGCTTGATACTGAATACAACCCTCCCATCATAGTGCTTGGGAATGAAAACACATTAATCCATGACTTCAAAAAAAGACCTCAACCCATGCACTCCATCTTTAAAGGGTCTTACTCTTCTATAAACTTTAATGCAGCCTGAACCGCAACGTGTACCCCCACAATTTTATATCACGGTGTCGAGCCATGATGTGTGCTATTACTTTATTGGTGTTTCGAGTTACTATAGCAACGTAATTTGCTAACAATTATGTAATTTTTCTCATTGAAAATCACTGACAGAACTCTTGACAGCTTCAAACTGGTGAGTGAGGTCACATGACCTAGATAAGGGCTATTCAACTAAACTGCTCAGGGGGCCACAGTTACTGAAAGTCAAGAGCTCAGGGGCCGGACATCCAGCAGTTATTGTCATTAAGTAAGTTTGTTTTATGGTTTAAAATGTAGTTTTATTTAAAAATTAACCCATTGGTTCGGAAAGCTCTGAAAAGAATGAAGAAAGGGAAGGCAGTAGGACCTGATGAAATACCAGTGGAGGTTTGGAAATGTCTTGGAGAGATGGCAGTAAGGTTTTTGACTCAAATATTCAATGGCATATATGAGGGTGAGAAAATGCCTCAGGAATGGAGAAGAAGTGTGCTGGTGCCCATTTTTAAGAACAAGGGTGATGTACAGAGTTGTAGCAACTACAAGGAAATTAAGTTGATGAGCCACACGATGAAGATCTGGGAGAGGGTTGTGGAAGCAAGACTTAGAAGAGAGACGACTGTGAGCAGCAGTATGGTTTCATGCCAAGAAAGAGCATCACAGACGCCATCTTTGCTTTGAGAATGCTGATGAAGAAGTACAGAGAGGGTCAGAAAGAACTCCATTGTGTCTTTGTGGATTTAGAAAAAGCATATGACAGAGTGCCAAGAGAGGAGGTGTGGTATTGTATGAGGAAATCTGGAGTGGCAGAAAAGTATGTTAGACTGGTACAGGACATGTATGAGGACAGCAGGACAGTGGTGAGATGTGCTATAGGAGGGACAGATAGCTTCAAGGTGGAGGTGGGAGTGCATCAAGGATCGGCTCTGAGCCCCTTCTTGTTTGCTCTGACGATGGATCGACTAACAGATGAGGTCAGGCAAGAATCCCCATGGACGATGATGTTTGCAGATGACATTGTGATCTGTGGTGAGAACAGGAACAGGTGGAAGAGAACTTGGAGAGGTGGAGGTATGCACTTGAAAGAAGAGGAATGAAAGTCAGCCGTAGTAAGACAGAGTACATGTGTGTGAATGAGAGGGAGGCCGGAGGAGACTCTGAACAAAACACAGATTAACATTTTTAGCCATTTTTGTTCAAGACGACTGCCACAGCGACCTCAGAAAACACGAAATTGACTATAACGCAGTCATTCGTTGAGATATTGAGCTGAAATTTGGTTATGGTTATAGCTGAGAGTGAGTTATTATGCATTCCTGATGAAAATCAAAAATCCAAGATGGCCACCTAAGCTAAAAAAACAATGTGATAACAATTTAAAAGGATATTGAGTCACAGTGAAGTCCACACATTGACTTGCTGTAGTAATCACACTCAGTGAACTGCTCTTTTTATTTATTATATAATATTTATAACAATAGAAGGTTTAACATTTATTAGACATTCCTGCTCGATTAGAGCTACTCAGTTATCAGCACATCGAGTACAGCTCAGTTAAAAAATACACTTTTTCCTGACACTTCCAAGCTGATGGTGTTGGCAGCATGATTTGTGGCAATTTGTAAATAATTTTTGGGTATGGATGAAAGAGAGAAAAAAAACTGTTTTTTTTTTGTTTTGTTTTTTTTACATAACAAGACAACGAAAAACAAAGAACAAAAAAAAAAGAGATATGAAGAAAACAGAGAGACAGAGAGAGAGAGAGATGAGTGGGAGTGATGCATGCTGGGCAGAAAGCCAGGTGTAAGTTTAGTGACCATCACTATGGCGACACACGATTCTCCTGCTCACACTCCTGAATGTTTGGATTTACTGCCTAACACCACTAAAACGAGCTTTAAAATCAAATAAGTAAATTATTTTTCAAAGGTAACACTGAACTGAGCTTCACACGACACCTTATCCTGTAAGACCTCATATAAACTCAGCCTGCTAAACAAAGTTTACATGAGTCCAAAACTAAACTCTAGTCTTAACGTAAAGTGGCTTTCTTAAACACTGACTAAACTGAGATTGATATCTGCTGCAACGTAATTCTCAATGGGGTTCAGGTCCGGTGAGTTGGCTGGCCAGTCAAGCACTGTGGGCATTAAACCAGGTTTTGGTGCTTCTGGCAGCATGGACAGGGGCCAGGTCCTGCTGGAAGATGAAATCTCCATCTCCATACAGATCCTCAGCAGAAGGAATCATGAAGTCCTCTAAAACATTCTGGTAGACTGTTGCAGTGACCTTGGATTTAAGAAAGCAGAGTTTACCAACACCTGCACTGAACATTGCACCCCAAATCATGACCGACTGTAAATATTTCACACTGGACCTCAAGCAGTATGGGTTCTGCTCCTCACCCTTCTTCCTCCAAACCCTTGGACCTTGATTTCCAAATGAAAGACGCACTTTACTTTCATTGAAAAAGAGGACCGAGGAACCCGACAGTTGTAGCCCATCTTCTGGATGCGTCTGAATGTGGTGGTTTTTGAAGCTGTGACTCCGCCTCATTCCACTCTTTCTGGATCTCTGCCAGATTCTGGAATCTTCTCTGTTTGATAATCCGCTGAAGCCCATGGTCATCTCTTTTGCAGGTGCATCTTCTCCTGCCACATTTTGTCCTTCCACTAGACTTTCCACTGATATGCTTGATATGCTTGAACACAGCACTCTATGAACAGCCAGCCTCCTTAGCTATGAACTTTTGTGGCTCACCCATCCTATGGAGGGGGTCAATGATGGTCTTCTGGCCAGTTATGTCTGTAGTCTTCCCCATATTGAACCGAACAGAGACAATTGAATCAAACTGAAGCAATTTAATGACACCTGAGGAAACCTGTGCAGGTGCTTTGAGTTTAGTAGATGATTAGTGTCACACTCAGTTTAAAACATTCATGTCCTGCAACATTTGGGCTGATTTCTCCACAGTATTCTAATTTTTTGAAATCCTGTTTTCGTGGGTTTCATGAGCTGGAAGCTCAAATTATGTAAAAATAAACAAATAAATACTTGAAATTGTTTAAATTGTGGACCCTGAATCTATCATCTATTAAAGATTAACGTTTTGAATGGAATTATCAGAGAATCAGAATCAGAATGCCTTTATTGTCATTATACGCAAGTACAATGAAATTAAGAGCCACTCCTTTTTTTCAGTGCAAAAACACGCCTTAAGAAAAACACACACTAAACACTAAACACACACTAAAAATATAAAAAAATGTAACGCAATATAGATATAATAGCACTATGAAAGTAAAAAATACAAGTATTTCACACTTATGTTGCACATTATGGATATTAGTGAGGTAGTTAAGGTGACTGGGGGTATGACGTCAGTAGTATTGCACAATAGAAGTCCAGGGGTTTGGGAGGTTAGATTATTAAATCAGTGCATGTGAGTTCAGTGTGGTGATGGCTTTCGGGAAAAAACTGTTCTTGAATTTGTTTGTTCGTGTTCTGATGCACCTGTAGTGCTTCCCTGAAGGTAACAAGTCCAACAGTTCAAAACCCGGGTGTGAACAGTCCTTGATTATGCTTTCTGCTCTGTTGAGGCAGCGTGATGTGTAAATGTCCATCAGGGAGGGGAGAGGGCAGCCACTTATCTTTTGTGCTGTCTTTACTCTCTGAAGCCTCTCCCTGTCAGCCAGGGTGCAGCTGCCGTACCATACTGAGATACAGTATGTCAGCAGGCTCTCGATGGACGAGTGGTAGAAGGTCAACTGCAATTTGGTGTCCAGGTTGTGCTTCTTAAGGACTCTTAAGAAGTGTAGTCTCTGCTGAGCCTTCTTGATGACCGCTGTGGTGTTCTCTTTCCAGTTAAGGTCAGCAGAGATATGGACACCAAGAAATCTGAACGTGTGAACCCTCTCCACGCACTCGCCATTGATGTAAAGAGGGGCTAGGTTGGTGCTGTGCTTCCTGAAATCAATAATCACCCCCTTGGTTTATTTGATATTCAGAGCCAGATTTTTCTCTGAGCACCAGGTTGCTAGCTCCAGGACCTCCTGTCTGTAAAATGTCTCATCTCCCTTAGAGATTAGTCCGACCACTGTGGTGTCACTTGATGATGAGGTTGTATATATATATATATATATATATATATATATATATATATATATATATTTTTTTTTTTTTTTTTTCTTATTTGATTCCTAAATACACCATGATTGTGTGCAGGTGTAATAGGTGGGACCTTCAGCCCCACATCTTGGGTTCATAGACTGTGCTTCCAAAAATACAACGTGGCATCATCTGTAAACGGGATATTATGGCTTCACTTTTGAACAGTGGAATTATGTTTTATTTATTGTTAATATATGTTAATGTTTTAAATCAGGGGTGGGCAAACTTTCGGACTCGCGGGCCACATTGAGTTCTACAATTGGAGCGAAGGGCCAGAAACAGATGGATGAAGTATTTGTGTGATGTTACTCCCCAGCGCAATAACAGCTGCCGGGACGCTATTAATTATGGGTGACCCCACCTTCTGCACCACTCAAGCAGCCACTAAATTAGGATTATAT